AGCACAGTAAGTGCGCTCAATCAAAGTGTATTTGGCCTTACACGGTGTGAATTTCTTGCTTAAGTTGTAGATGGCCTACTCTGTCTTCCGCTTTCGTCATGTTGTCCCAACACATCCAAAATATTGTCCAAGACCGGCAGGCACAGCAACAGTGGCTTCCTAGGCCCGGGAGGAACCAACACTAGCGGATTTGACAAATACTCCTTAATTCCGTTGATGGCTTTCTGACACTCTTCTGTCTATTTTGTGGCAGCATGTTTCTTCAACAGCTTAATGATAGGTTCACAAATTACTGTAGACTCGGCTATGAAACGGCTGATGTAATTCAATCTACCCATGAAACTCATCACATCCTTCTTACTTTTGGGCGGTGGCAACTCTTGAATAGCTTTGATCTTTGAGGGATCTAACTCTATCCCTTTTTTGCTAATGATGAAACCTAGCAATTTTCCAACAGGGACTCCGAATGCGCATTTTGCAGGATTCAACTTCAAACTATACCTCCACAAACGTTCGAAAAACTTCCTAATATCATCAAAATGTTTTGAACTCTTCCGAGACTTGATGATGATGTCATCCACATATTCCTCGATCTCTTTGTGAATCATGTCGTGAAAGAGGGTTGTCATGGCCTTCATGTAAGTAGCGCCAGTATTTTTGAGACCGAAGGGCATGAATCTATAGCAGTAGACTCCCCTAGGTGTAGTAAAATCTGTCTTTTCTGCATCTTTTTCGTGCATCCGGATCTGGTGGTACCCAGAGAAACAATCCACGAGCGAATGCAGTTCATGCTTCACGTATTTGTCGATGAGGATATGTATATTAGGTAAAAAGAAATTGTCTTTTAGGCTGGCTTTGTTGAAATCTCGATAATCTACACATATCTTGATCATTCCATCCTTCTTGGGCACTGGGACGATATTCGCCAACCATGTGGGATAATTTATTGCCCTCACTACATTCACCTCTATTTGCTTGGTTACTTCATCCTTTATCCTTAAACTCAAGTCTAGTTTGAATTTTATGGGTTTTTGTTTGACTGGTGGTCTAGCATGATCGATAGGCAATCGGTGCGAACAATATCAGTACTTAACCCAGGTATGTCATCATACGACCATGTGAATATATCAATGTACTTCGGAGGAGCTTAACCAATTCTTCATTCTGCTCTACTTCTAGATGGATGTTGTTTCGGGTTTCTTTTATATCTTCTTCGCTTCCGAGGTTGACCACTTCTGTCTCTTCAAGCTTAGGCTTTCTCTGGCTTTCCAGTTGTTCGATCTCTCTTGGGAGATTATCTGGCATCATACTCTCATCGTACTCCTCGTAAGTTGGATCGCTTTGCTCGAGGGTTTCGTTATATGTCATAATCGCGAATGCAGGTTTTTATCGTTTTGATTACTGAAAAGAAAAACAAAGTATAAATGAAGCAATAAATAAATTTGCAATAATTTTAAGAAAGCAATTCTTTTCTTTCATCAAAAGAGCAACGTCTGAGCGTTCAAAGAGGCAAATAACAAAAAACTACAGACACGGTCCGAGCCTCAATTGACCGTGCGCTCTTTTCAAAACATTTATAATTCCACACTACCAAGACTCTTGGCGAACCAATGACGGGCTAACAGTCGAATTCTGCAAGTCCTCTCCTAGTTCAGATTCCCGAATGGTCGGTGACATAATATAAATTCCTTCACAACATTCCTCAAGTATGGTCACGAACAGCCTTTCCATTCCATCGACGATGTCGTCATCTGGCACTGAGCTCTAACACGTACCCGATAAACGCTCTGGCATAAAATCTCCTTTTTCCCGAAGCTACCGATACACGCCTTCTCAGTCGATGGCTGATACCGTAGGCCGACTCTTCCTTTCTGCCCATATGGCTCAATCAGCTCTATTATCCTGTCTGATTGGGCTCCCAGCTCGGTTCTTGGACTGTATCTGTATTTCATCATTTTCCTCATGGCCATCTTTGATCTATATGATGACTGCATTCTTAGGTTTTGCTTAGTCTCTTCTATTTCGGTGGTCTGCATGAACTCTACTGCATGGAAAGCGACCCCGTCTAATCCTTCTATGAACGGGACTGTGTGTTCCAGATAAGCTGATTGGCTCCATTCGTCGTGGACTACGATCTGTTGACACCCCCATTCGAACTTCATACATTGGTGTAGGGTAGATAGTACTGCCCCCTCCATGTGTATCCAAGGTCTTCCTAGTAATAAGTTATATGAAGATGAAATATACATCACTTGGAATAGTATGGGAAACTCAATTGGTCCACTCTGCAGTGCCAAATAAATTTCTCCAATGACATCCTTTTGCGACCCGTCAAAAGCCCTTAACCTCGCATGACATTCCTTGACTTCTCTTAGATGGATATGCAACTCTCACAGAGTAGAGAGCGGGCAGATATTGAATCCTGATCCTCCATCAATCAGTACTGGGGACACCACCTTATCTCCACATTTGACAGTGATGTGTAGAGTTTTGTTCTGACCCACGCCTTAGATAGGAAGCTCATCTCTTCGGAAAGTGATCATATTTGCTTCGACCATTTTCCCAATTGTTGTTACCAGTGCCTCACTTATGTTATTGCTCAGTACGCTCACCCCACTTCACACTTTCATCAGGGCATCTTTATGACTGTCAGAACTCATCAGTAAATCCATGATTGATATTTGTGCGGGGTTTTCTTCAGTTGCTCCTAACGGAGTATTCTTTGGTTGACATCTTCTTCCAAAATTCTACGGCCTTCAGATCTGTTATATTTCTTCTCTGAATCCGTACCCTTCCTAGATTCCCTCGGTTTATATCCTCAAGAGCGTAACACCTCCCTGGCCTAGTCATGCCGTGAGCCGCTGCGGAATCCGTCATATTGGCTTTCCCTTTTTGTTGATATGTCCACGGGACTGCTTTGTATTCCCGATCCTTTTCATCCATGGTAGCAGCAGTAGGCTGTTACTGGTAAGTCTGAACTATCACCGTAGGTTTCAATTGTACTGTGATCTTCGGAGTCCTTTAAGGTAGGACCATTGCAGCTTCAGCATTTTCTATCGTGACAATGGTTGTACTCACGCTACACCCTGCACCTCGTGTGGATATCCAGGTGCTTCCAGTCACGGCGGTTGCTCATTGTGGAGTCATGATCTCGAGAGACTATCGAGGTAGCTGCATGACTTTCGCAGACCTTGACCCTCCTTCATTATCTTTACTTGTATTTCAGTTTTTTTTACTCTTTAGACACTGTATTTGACTATCTTCCATTGTAGAAGCTCATGTACTCGGTAACATCCCGGTTTAGGGAGAGATTGTATTGGGTTGCGTATTTATTTATGTTTTAAAGATTTTCCTTAAATATTAACTGCTTCCGTATTTTGTTTCAAAGCTTTTGGTTATGTTGGAATAGTTGAGTAATTGGCTTGCCTAGTTCCACGATATGCGTCATCACGACGGTTGTTTTGGGTCTTGACAAATCTCAACAAAAAGACAAAACACATGACAAGTAGGAGAGGTAACTGAGTACACTAAACGACATATTTCGTTAATACGAATCTCAGACTGTAATCATCATACAATTCAATTTGAATTTGCCGATGAACTACTCTCTTGCATAAATGTTTATCATAAAGGATTAAACTTCTAAATGCCGGACCTAATGCAAGTGTAGTAACAACAAAAAAACGCAGCAAAACAGCTGTAAAAATCACCCAAAAATGCAGCAAAATAGCCGACTCCTAAGCCTTCGAACTTCACGCAATCACAATCATTTTTTCTTCTTTTACTTCCAAATGACTGAACCTAGTATTTTTATTTGGATAGTATATGTCTAAAGTGTGTTCTGAAAGTTCTTTTGCCAAAATGCTTTTCTTTAAAATGAAGTTAATTCTTTTATTAATGTGATAGGCAAAACATGCTTATAGGATTGTATACAGAAAATAGAGAGCTTTAGACAAAAATATGATTCTCAACAAAAAGCATTAGTCACTAATACTAATTGAAATACTGTAGGTCCTCCAAAAGTGTAAAAAAAAAAAAAAAAGACAGTTCCGCTAAGGCTTAGTCCTCTCTAGTATAACTCTGTTCCACATTTTGCCAAATGTATTTTCAACAAGCATAGATTTTGATCTACATAAGCATGTAAGTAACATGATGAAGATGACATGTGCCTGAGGATGACCAAAAGGCATCACAAAGCACAACCAAAAATACAAAATGACATCCTACTTACATAAAGTTTTTTTTTTTCAAATTCTACTGAGTTTATGGGTGCAATATCAAATCCTTCCATCTTATTGGTGTGTAACTCTAAGTTCCCAAAAAAGAACATGGAAAAATAGAACCAATATGTAGTCCACTAATACCTCAATTTTATTTCAGAAATACTTTATTAATCAAAGTAAAACCACATAATTTTGATAGAATTTCCATTTTTCACAAGAAAGTCAGCCCATCTGCAAACATCTTTACTTCATTTTGGGCTTTAAGTTTCTTCTTTAGATCAGGATAATTTCATTAATAATGCACTGACACAATGCCAAAAGAATTTTCCAAACCCTACACGAATTAACCATGATCTTTCACCAAGTTAACCCAATTATCTATGAAAGATAATACTAGTTTACTTTACACCTTAAAAGAAACAGAAACTAACTTTTTATAGTTTATGCTCCCTAGGTTCCTTTTCCCTCCCTGAAGATTCTTCAATTCCTCTATTTCCAAATTGTCGGAGAAGACATATCAGATTCATATATGCTACAACGCCTCAACTACAGTCAAATAATGTCAAGTAAACCAATGCCTCAACTACACTCCCATAAAATGACTCCACAAACAACCCCTCTTTCTCCACTATAAATCTCCTTTAAAACTAGTAAAACAAACATTGCCAGAGAGAGAGAGAGAGAGAGAGAGAGAGAGAGCGCAGTGGTAGAATAAGCAACAAAAAAAAAGGAGAAGAAGAGGAAAGAGAAGACGTGTAACATATGGTATGGACTGACCTTGATTGTTACTACCATCAGATGGAAAATTGATTGGTTGAATATCAGCTTGGTGTGGAGAGGAAGCTTCTCCAGGTGCACGAGCACAGAAGATTAGTATGTGAGGATCAAGTCTCAAATCGGGGTTGAGACGTTGAATTCGTGTAACGACGTTCTTGGTAATTTTATAAACTCTAACAAATCCGAGAAAGCCACATTACTGAACCCATGCAAGGATTTAAGCAAGTACAATTGAATAGTAAAACTTAGTTCACTGAAATTTTCACACCCCGGATATAACTCTTATGATTAAAATAATTGGACAATCACGTGTAATTGATTTTTTAATAATTTGAATAAAAATATTCAGAGGTAAATTACATAACTTAAACCCTTCAGTGTAGCATTGTCAATCTTTCTTAAATGGTGTGGAGATGCAAAAAGAAAGTGGGCTAAATATAATAGGTAAAATCAAACAAAATGAGTACTATTCAGCATCAGCATAACATAAGTAGCCAACTGTCTTAGTTCCCAACAGATGAAAGCAAAATTGTGAAAGGACCCAGTTGAAGTAGCATTTCTATGAAAAAGGCAAAATTAGTATATATGCTAAGAATTGGCTCAATTATCTTTTTCCAATTTCACTTGCAAACAATGAAGAAAGTTGAGAAAAGCAAGAAAAGTAAATCCATAGAGACAGATAATTGATAATTATGTTAAACAACATATCAATAGATGGTAGGGGACCAGTAATGCACTATAGTCAATCAAAGTTTGCATTTTCAAAGAAAACTGATATGCATTTAGAAAAGCAGTACTTAAAGGTCAAACAATAGTAGAAAGATCAAGAGTTTCAAGACTGAAGGTTTTCTTTGAGAAAGCATATGAAGCAATAATGGTTTTCCCAACTTAAGTAAATATACTCATCACCAATAAGCATAGATAGATCTTCAAACCAACAACACAATATCTTTAGTAGTAAATCAGAATAAGCTCAAAAATTATTTGGTGAGAGCAGGCAGGCAGCTTTGCAAGCACATTCATGTGGAACTTTTACACATAAGATCATACAACAACAATTTCCAAAAAGACATGTAAAAATATCCAAACTTTAACCATAACAATAACAAGCACCAAGCAGATGGCACAGAGATAATTCTTCAAACCAATATATTTCTTCAAACCAACATGGTAGAAACTTTAAAGACAAAGCAGAACAAGCCCAAAAATTGTTGTTGAAAAAGCCGTCAAAAGCATGCAGCTTTTCAAGCAATTCGAGTATAACTCTTACATATAGATCATAAAAAATAAAAAGGGGCAGCCCGGTGCACTAAGCTCCCGCTATGTGCGGGGTCCGAGGAAAGGCTGGACCACAAGGGCCTATTGCACGCTGCATTTCTATAAGAAGTTGTTTTCATGGTACATATAGATCATATAACACAAAATTCCACAAAAATGTAAAAAAGGATTCAACCTTTAATCATACCAGCATCAACAACAACAAAAACAAGCACCAAACATATGGAACAGAGTAATGGGACTAGACACTAGGATATGTAGTTCAACAAAATAAAAGCTACGATAAAAATATCTAAGCATCTATTATCATATCAGAATAAATTCCACAAAGATAATGTAAAAAAGATCCAAACTTTAACCATTCCAGCAATATCAATAACAAGCACCAAACAGATGAACAAAGTAAAGGAACTAAACAATAAGACAAGATGTTTAACAAAATAAAAGCAACGGTAAAAATAATATCTAAGCATCCATTATCAAATACCAAGAAAGAAATAGAGAGAAAGGGTAATAATAATACCAAAATGATCGACAAAAACCAAGACGATCTTCTAATTGAAGAACAGATATTAACACAATCAAGGATAGTAGAAAAAGATTAAAAAAAAGGCGTCAAAAAAACTTACATAGCAAAAATCACTGACGTTGGATTTAGGGATTTGGGGAGAGCATCTGGGTTGGGGAGTTTTATCCTCTGTGTTCAAAATGAAAGAGAATAGGAGCCTTATTTGGGGTATCTGATTGAGCCTTATTTTGTGGCTTCGCTTTGGATGTATTGACGTTAGTGGGGGAAAGGGCAACAAAATGTTTTAACCTAATATTTATATTATTAAAATTAGTTAAAAATAAAAGGAAGAGGGGTTTTTGGGCGGGTTTATCGAAATTTGGGGGGGGGGGGGGAATAAGGAGGGAATAAATAACCGTTCTAATAAAATTTTATTCTATAAAATCATTGCCATAAATAGATCTATTGGGACGGTTCATAGTACCGTTGCGAAAAAAATATCTATGGCAACAGTTATATTACAATTGCAATGATTTTATAGCTGTAGCGTGATGATATTCCCTAAACTCCATTGTAACGGTTGCATCCATTACGACATGTGGTCTAGGGCAACAGTTTCTGAACCGTTACAAAAATAAGTGTTGTCATAGGCCTATTTTTCAATACTGAGTAATTGAGTTGTGATCCATGTTAGAAATCATATTTAGGCCATATACTTATTCTATTGGGACCCCATGAGGTCATTTCTATCATTTAGTTATTTGCTTAAATTGTAATTACATAATCAGTCATAATCATTAATTTGCATATCATATCTCAGTCTCTGTTATAATTCGTTGTCACATCATATTATTATTATTTGGGTTGAATGGCATGAGATTTGTCTGCCCGAGAGACTTGAGAGATTGATGACTGAGTTAGGGTCTGAGGGCCGGATTGTGAGTGATATTTATGGGATCAGGCTGCACGCCGCAACCGATTTTATTGATTCATGATGGGATCGGGATGCACGCCGCAGCAGGCCATGTTGGCTTATATTAGCGCTTGGGTAGGAACCGCCCCTTCGATGTCTGACATACCAGCAGTGAGAGCAGGTACCGAGTGCCGATAGATTTAGTGTACCGAGTGATTGAGTGTGAGACAGTGAGATTGAGTACTCTAAGAGTGTGAGTACATGAGTTCATCACAGTGATGCATTACATTTGACATACATACTTGGCATGTAGGCATAGAGATATTTTTCCTCATGCTAAACAGTATTGTGACATTCATGGCTTCACATGCACATTGACTTGTAGGAATAAAGGTCTACTTTCCTCATGCTATCTGATAATGAAACATCATATCTATTATTAAAAGTTTATGGGAAAAATCATAGTTTTCTAACATACTCATATTTTGGTAATTTCAGTGAAAGATTTGGGCTTTACTGTTATACCTGAAAAGTATGCCTATTTTTTCGTAACTGTGAACGAGTTGAGCATCATATCTTTGAGTTATTACTTGTGCTGCTTTTATTATATTGTTAAGAGTTTTTCTTGGCTATTGGTGTTGGACTATGACCGTTGTCCAAGCTCGTCATTACTTTCAACCTAAGGTTAGGTTTATTAGTTATTGAGTACATGGGGTCAGTTGTACTCATACTACACTTCTGCACCTTGCGTGCGTATTTTGAAGCTGATCTTGTTGCGTATGGCGGGAGCTGGTATTGGTGATATACATGCGTTCCGGTTATAGCTGCCTCTTGTTCTTGGTAGCTTTAGGATTATAAATCTGTTTATGTATATTTCAAATAGATGATGTATTTATTTCATACCAGCTTTGTAAACTCTAAATCTTAGAAGCTCATGATTTGTACTACCAGTCCTTGGGATCTACCTAAAATTTGGGTAATTTCGGTGAAAGATTTGGGTTTTACTGATATACCTAAAAAGCATGCCTATTTTTCCGTATCTGTGAACGAGTTGAGCATCCTATATCTGAGTTATTACTTGTACTTCTTTTATTATATTTTTACGAGTTGTTCTTGGCTATTGTTGTTGGACTCTAACCGATGTCTAAGCTCATCACTACTTTCAACCTAATGTTAGGTTTGTTACTTATTGAGTACATGGGGTCGGTTGTACTCATACTAGACTTTTGCACCTTGCGTACAGATTTGGAGCTAATATTGCTGCATATGGCGGGAGCTGACATTGGAGATGTACCTGCGTTCCTGCTATAGCTGCCTCTTGTTCTTGGTAGCTTTAGAATTATAAATTTGTTTATGTATATTTCGAACATATGATGTATTTATTTCATACCATCTTTGTAAACTCTAAATCTTATAAGCTCATGATTTGTACTACTAGTCCATGGGAAGTTATATAAAAGTTTAGTTATTTCATCATTTATTTTTCTCAGTAAATCTCAATTGAATTGGATTGTTGTTAATTGCCTTACCTAGCGGGTTGGGTAAGGTGTCATTATAATTAGTTTGATTTTGGGTCGTGACACATGTATGCTCTAATTTCGTCACAACATCAGAAGATTTGAAGACTGAAGTTTCCTGTTTGTGTCTTGGTCAAAGAACTCGACATTTCAAATTCTTAGGATGAAATGGGGAGATATCAACGAGATTCGCAGAGTCAAAAGGCATAAGGGATGATTTAGGGTCACGATTCACAACCTTGCACGAATTAGTGCAAGTTTTCTGGGATTGATGGGTCTGGGGTTTGAGAGAAATGAGAGAGGAAAGGGAAAGTGGGTGGCTAGGACGAGAGTGAAATTATTTTAGGGTTTTGGGGTGAAACCATCCAGTCTCTAGGTTAAAGTGGAAGGAATCGATTTGGGCCGTTGGATCATTTGATCAATTGCTCTGATAATTCAGGTATTAAAGGATTTTAATGGAGAAATATATGACTCGTTGGATCCATGTGTTTCAATAGCTGAGATTAGATCTGGGAGGTGTTAAAATTATAAGGGAAATCAAGATAAAATATGGATCGTTGATCGTATGAATCAACGGCTCAGATTTGTGTGTGTTTCTTATGTGAGTAGTGGAGATAGGCGACATGGCAAATTTCTATTGGTTCATATGAGGTGACGGGGATTGCCAAGGTGGATTGGAGGGGTTGTATGGACCGGGTCAATTCTGGATTGGGCCTATGTATTGGTCTAGTTTTAATTTAAAATGTAGCCTTTTGTGTTTAATAAAAAAATTGCAATTATATCCTTTAGCCCTTTTTAATCCCTTTTGAAATTATATTAAATAAACTTAATTATTTTCAATAAAATATAGTAAAATTATAATTATCATATATGCTACTAATTATTGTAAAATAATTAATTATAGAATACTCTATTTTCCAAATTGTGATATTAGTTTTGAATTATAGAAATGATATATCAATTAACTAAAAATCAACGAATGACTAATTACACTAATTGTAAGGTCTATGTAATATATATAAAGGGTTATTTTAATAACCGTAAAATAGTAAGTATTATATATTTATAATTACAATTATCAAATTTAATTATCAATTTGAAAATTATTAATACCAAATTAATTTTGTAAAAAATAGGTGTTATTGATTAAAAATATATTCAAAATATTCATTATAAATTATTAATTATAAATAAATTAATTTTAAAAGGGATGGTCAAATATGGCCGTCAACAACATTAAATTGGTAAAGTTTATTATCGAACTTTAACCAAAAATCTGATCTTTACCTTAAAAAATAAGAACACCCATAATCCCCATTTTATGGCCAACTCTCCCACATCCCCTATCCCTCGCATCTCATTTCACATCACACACTCATGATCCTCTCCACATTCCCACTCTTCTTCTCCATCAACACATACACACAGTTAGGCATATAGGATTTGAATACTAAGATGCACATACTTGAAAAAAAAAGGAGAAAGAATCTGATAAATAAATCAGCAATGAGAGAATCTAATAAATAAATCAACAAGGAGGAGAAAAGAGGGCACCAAACACATTAGTACTTTATATAGAAGAATACGCATTCCCACAGAACATATCGCATAAATTTAATTAGAATCAAAGTGGAGTACGAACCCAATCTCAAGTTCAATTTTGTTCTCAAAAAGCACACAAAGATGAAGATTTTCCATTGACGATCCGAGTTTTAAAGTTCTCGTCGAGTTTTGGTTTATGGTTCACTGTTGCTTGTTGCTGTTTCAAGTTCGACATTGGATATCTATCTTTTGAAGTTTTCTCATTATATATAAAAATCTTCACGGCAAAGGTTCTTATTCGTCTCTTGTTTTAGTTACTTCTGGTGTTAAATAATTTGTGGAGAAGTTTAGTTCTATTATGAATACGTTCGTTGGGATGCATGTCTTTAATTAAAATTAATTATTAAAAAATAGAGATTTCGTAGTCACAATATATATCTTCTTATATTATCTAGAGCATATTTAATATCCGTTTCAAGTATTCAGTAGCTATGGTTTAAAAACATTTCTGAATAGTAGCATTTAGAATGTAATAAATAAAGAATTAGTATTAATTAATGGTCATGATATAAAAAATTATTTAATTAATCTATGACAAGTACACATTATGCTTTCCATTCTATGTCACTCTCGATTCCATGAAGCTACTATATCACAGATATGTAACGATCCGGCCGGTCGTTTTGAGTGTTGTAGCCCCGTTTTCCCATTTACTGCTTATTTAATGCTCAATTGTCATTATGTGACTTATCGGGGTAGTTGGTTTGGTTTCGGGGATATTTCGAAATGAGTTGAGACACTTAGTCTCAAGATTGGAAGATTAAGTTAAAAAAGTTGACTGGATGTTGGTTTATATGTAAATGGAAACAGAATATAGTTTTGATGGTTCTGATAGCTCCGTTGGGTGATTTTGGACTTAGGAGAGTGTCCGGATAGTGATTTGGAGGTCCGTTGTTGATTCTGGATTGAAATGGCGAAAGCTGGAAAATTAGAAGTTTGATTGAGAGTTTACTTTGTGGTTACCAGGCTCGGAATTTGGTTTCGGAAGTTGAAATAGGTCCGTTGTGTCATTTATGAATTCTGTGCAAAATTTGAGGTCAATCGGACTTGATTTGATAGGTTTCAGCATCGAATGTAGAAGCAAGAAGTTCATGAGTTCATTAGGCTTGAATTGGGGTGCAATTCGTATTTTTGATGTTATTTTATGTCATTTGAGACCTCGACTAAGTTCGTATCATATTTTAGGACTTGTTGGTATATTTGGTTGAGATTTGGGGGCCTCGGGTTGGTTTCGGATGGTTAACGGATCAAATTTGA